AACAGATAATTCTGTAAAGCCCTCTGAACTCCAACAATTTGGAGAACTCCTTTCTAAAAATGAAAGAATTTAAAAATGAAAATTAAATTAAGAATTTAAAAATGAAATTTATAAATGAAAGAATTTTTCTTGAATTTAAAATGTCAAAAAGGCACACAAAATAACCTAGTACTGATTGACCTAAGCGCATTGATGCACACATTGGTACAGTTGCACAGCTAAGCAAAATCTCAGAAGTGTATGTTAAGTGACTTGTGATTTTGATGTGGCTTCTAAACTCCCGCTGATAAAAAGTTGTAGGTTTGATAGTATCAATACATCATTTGCTTGGTATCACAGCATGTAGATTTTGGCATTATCTGAAAATAATTGCTCATATTTTAAATGTGATAAGTAGAACCCATGCAAAAAACTGAAAAAGACCTAGGTGAAATGTAAATTTCAATACAAAGCACAAGCATTGGGTTGCCTGTGGAATTGTTTTGCATATTTTAAACAGCTGAAAGCATTTATGAAGGAACAAACAAAACTACAATAACTGTCAATTCTGATGTGTGGTGGAAGAGACATTCTCTAAGAACATCTTAGCTTTGTCTTATTAATGTTCCGGTGGTGAGTGCAGTTATTTTGCTTTTATTACAAACGTTGTGTTGTTCTTTTACAGGCAAAGGTTACACATGTGTAATGCCATCAGATGCAATTGCATTAAATCTAAAATTGAAACAAATTTGAACATTGTTATAAATTATAAATGAGTTCATAAAATTACTAGACTTTATTTTTCCATAAATATGAAAGGAAGAAGGGTAACCTCTGTGTTAACCTCAATCAAGTTTAGGTGCTCTCTGTGGTAAACATATTGTAAATTAGACCCAGTGCAAAAGCAACTACTTACTAAAATATACTTTGATTCGTTTATGTTGATACAAAACACCCCATGTGACTTTGCTCACAAGGAGCCATTTTTTCACCAAGTCTATGAATGCTTTACATGCTCTACAATCAGCATTTTTAACTTTATGAATCTAAACAATGCTCAAAAACTTGACTGTATTTTGAATGTTTCTCTAGGGTCTCCATTTTGGTGAATAAGTTATGGCAGACCTTCGGTTAAGTTTAAGAATTCTTGGAAATTCTTGTGTGTGATCTTGTTTCCCCGAATAGCTTTAAAATAACTTTCTATTTGTGTTATAGACCGCCGAGCTGTTCATTATTTATGGACTACTTTGAGTGTTACTCGTAAATTTGCGTGAAACCACTGGTAGAATTTGCATTGCTGGTGATTTCAATATGCCTAACATCAACTGGGAATATGTCATTGACTCGAACAACTCTACTGATGGAATCAAGTTTTGCAACTTAATTAACTCCCATTTTCTCACTCAAGTCGTGAGGAAGCCAACAAGAATTTCACACTCCTGCATGTCTATTTTGGATCTGATTTATTTTCTCATCCTGAAGAAACATTTGATGTAAGCGTAGTTGAGGATTTCAGCTCTGATCATCTCGCGGTCAGTTTCTCGCTGTTCACAAAACTCAAGCGCATGAAGAAATCTGGTCGGTCAGTTTACAATCTCAAGAAGGCTGATCTATCTGGCTTGAAGTCCGCTCTAAGGAACCTCTCTTGGGACACTGTGTTTGTTGACAATGACATAGACGCTAGTACTGCCTGCTGGTATGATATGTTTCTATCGTGTGTAGATGAATTTGTTGCAAAAATGGTAATTAAGGATGCCAAGTGACCACCGTGGATTGAAAAAGAGCTTTTATTGTTAATTAGAAACAAGAACAGGATTCGACATAAAGCTAAGCTAAAAGTTTCTGTGATTTTATGGGAAAGATTCCGTGAGCTTAGATGACAAGTTAAGAAAATGCTTAAATTCAAAAAGCGCAGTCACCTCTCGATGCTTAGTTGTTCTCTGAGAGACAATCCTGGTAAATTTTGGTCATACCACAAAGCAATTACTAAAACCAATAGAATTCCTGGGGTAATTAAACATGAATCGGTTCTGGCTATTAGACCTATTCAGCAAGCAAATTTATTCAACGTGTTTTTTCACTCAGTTTTTGCCCCACCTGACTCAGGATGCAATACTGCTCTTCTTCCCAGTCTCGACCACAGCGTCAAAACGTGAATTATCCGAATTACGCATAAGCCCTAACAACATTCTTAAACAGCTTCAATCCCTTGATGTCAACAAAGCTTCTCTTGGTCTTCCTTCTAAATTATTGCAAGCATGTGCTAATGAAATAGCACCTTCGTTATGTAGATTATTCAATTTGTCCTTGGAGCTTGGGACCTTTCCTGAGAAATGGAAAGATGCAAATCTTGTCCCTATTCACAAAATAAAGTCTAGGATGATGGTTTCAAACTATCGTGGCATTTCAATTCTAGATGTTCTAAAATTATGGAAAGACAAGTTTATAATGAGGTCTTTAATATCATTTGTCCTCATCTTACTCACTGGCAGCATGGATTTTTGCCAGGAAAATCCACCGT